CCAAATACATGATGAAATGACTGGATATTTGAGTATGCCAATTCAAACGCATATTTGTAAAACTAGGATGCTTGAAGATGCGACATGGGCAACTGATGCGGAGATAATTGGATGTGCTTCATTTATGGAAGTAGATATTCAAGTATACAGCAAATATGGAGAGAAAACAAAATGGATGATCTACCCACGCAGTTTACGGCTTAATAAGTTAAGTGACTATTCTATATTTTTAGACAATTCAACTGGGTTCCACTTTGATGCTGTGATTAATAGTTGAAAATCTAGTCCATATACATTTGTATTTCTTTTACGAGTTTTAAATAATGCTGTTTAATTTCAATTATTGTATTTTCTTTTCTTGTACTTTGTAAGTTTATATATTAAAAACAGCAAGTTGTTTGAAAACGGAAGTAATATAGTTAGGCTGTCTAAATAAAAAAAAGATTTTAATAAAATTACGTGGTGCAAATTTAAAATTGTTTTACATTACATATTGTCTTACAAATCGTTATCTAAAAATTGCCCCTCCCCTATTTTCAAACACAAAAAAATTTATTTTATTTCGCAATGGTGTTTGACCTTTGATCTGCTGCTACACCTTTCAAAAATAAATTTGAAAATTTTCTTCAATATTACCTTCATAAAAACACATTTAAAAAAATCTATAAAGTGAAGTCCTTTTCTAAAAACCTCCCCACCTCCCTTCTCTCATCCTTTTTATCTCAAACCCCTCCTCCAACCCTATTTGGACGACGTCTTCTATTGATGACCCCTTACTACATGATCTGGATGGGCTCTTGTTTTTTCATTTAAACACTACAATATTTTAAAATAATGTTCATATTAAACGGAATCGTTTTTTTATTGCTATTTAAAAAACAACTGTCTTTCAAACATTAAAAATAAAAATTCAAAATACAACAAAGTTGCAAAACACATTTTGCCGCGTAATATTATGGGAGTAAAAATCTCATAGTGGGAGTAAAAATTTAATATAAGATTTTTACTGGGGAGTAAAAATTTAATAAGCGGTTTTTACTGGGGAGTAAAAATTTATTATGAGATTTTTACTGGGGAGTAAAAAAAAAGCGGGAGCAATAATCTCATACTACACCGGGTTTCGAAGCGTGGGGGGAGGGGGGAGGGGGAGCAAAATCATTATTTCTTAAAAAAAGTCGTCTATATATAGAATTTTCTTATATAAAAAAAAAAGTTCCTTTTGAAAAAAAGTTGGGGAGTGGGCACGCGCCCCCCTTGGCTCCTCTTTAGCTTTTTAAGCTAGCTGTCCTCGTAGCCAAATCGTTGTCTTTATCTTTACAAATATCGATAACTTTTCGCCAACTTAAAAAAGCAAGCGATCCTCGTGGCCAAATCGCTGTCTTTATTGTTACGATTATATGATTATGCGACATTTTTATGACTATATGATTATACTGTCTTTATTGTTACGATTATTACGATTATACGACATTTATATCCCGGTGGGAAATCGGCTACCGAATAGCTAGCCGATTTCCCACCGGGATATAAATGTCGTATACAGTATACACAGATACAGTATATACTGTATCAGTGACGGATGCATAGAGAGAGTGATATGGTATAAATCCCCCGCCCCCAGAATCTTAGAGTCCTAATAATATCATCGAAATTGAGGACCTTATTTTTTTTTTTAGGAGACGCAAATATGGTACAAAATACCCCCTTCTCCAACAAAAACTCATGTTGTGCCCACTCAACAATTACCCACATTCTCGGTAATAGATTTGTTTTTATTATTTGATTTATTTCCCCCGAGAATTCGGACTCTAAGTAACAAGTAAGAGCTCTCGAATTTGTTCTTAAAATATTTATTACGTTAAATGAATTTTATCCAAAATATTTTCATTAGTTCTAACTGAAGTTTGCTTATATTTTTGTAATATTTGTTTATATTGTTATTAAATTTTTATAGATTATAATTTTTCCATAGTTCTTTTTTTTTCAATTTCACGTATTGTTTTATATTCATTAATAATCTACTGCGATACTCAAAAAAAACATATTACTCAACCTACTTCAATCAAAATTTAAATAACCTTAAAAACACCTGGAAAGGAATAAAGAGTATTATTTCTATTAAATCAAAGAACAGCAATAATATAGATAGTTTAAATATCAATAATAAAACTATAATTAATAAAAAAATAATTTCTAATGCATTTAACGATTACTTTTCTTCAATAGCAGATAATCTTGCTAAAAAAATTATACCCCCTAGATTTGACTTCAGCCACTACCTAAAAAACAAAAATCCTAATTCTCTTTTTATATCCCCAATTACTTCTCAAGAAATAAATGACTATATCTCTCTCATAAATCCAAAAAAAAGCACTGGACCCAATAGCATTCCTTCCAAAATTATGATCTTAGCATCTCAAGAGTTAACCTTCTCCTTGAGCATTATAATTAATCAATCTTTTCAATCTGGAATATTCCCTGACTTATTTAAAATTGCTGAAGTTGTCCCAATTTTTAAAGGCGGCTGTAAACAAGGTCTTTGTAACTTTCGGCCTATATCCTTGCTTTCAAATATAGGCAAATTAATTGAAAAACTTATGTATAATAGGTTAATCAGTTTTCTAAATCTATCAAATAGCTTATATAGTCTCCAATTCGGATTCTGAAAGAATCACTCAACAAACCAAGCACTCATAGATATAACGGAAACCATACGTGAAGCTTTGGACCAAAAACAGTTCGCTGGTGGAGTGTTCGTTGATCTGCAAAAAGCATTTGATACTGTTGACCATGAAATTCTATTATCAAAGCTCTATCATTATGGTGTGAGGGGTATCGCTCTGAACTAGTTTAAGTCATATCTAAACCATCGTACACAAACTGTTACTATTAGTAATATCTCTTCCTCTATTAAGTTCATGTCTATAGGTATTCCTCAGAGTTTAACTCTGGGTCCCCTCCTTTTTTTCATCTATATAAATGATTTAAACATGTGTGTTAAATACTCAAAAATGTATCATTTTGCTGATGACACCAACCTCCTAATAGTAGAGAAATCTTTAAAAAAACTTAATAAACACCTAAATTATGACCTGGCATCACTGGTTCAATGGTTGCGATCAAACAAATTATCTTTAAACGCCAAAAAAACTGAATTAGTTCTATTTAAACCTGTAGGCAAAAAAATTACTAAAAAACTTAATTTTAGAATTAGTGGACAAAAGCTAAACATTGTTGATAAAATAAAATATTTAGGCATATTATTGGATGAGAATCTTTTGTTCATGCAACAAATCAAATTCATATCATGCAAACTGAGCCGAGCAAATGGAATGCTTACCAAAATAAGGCATTTTGTGAATTATAAAACTCTCTTAAATATTTGGCATGCAATTTTTAATTCCCATCTTCGCTATGGCTGCCAGATATGGGGTCAAAGCTCATCCATTTATATAAAAAATCTTATAAATCTTCAAAATAAATAATTGAAAATAATTCACTTTTAACCTAACAGTTTTAGTTCTGACATACTATACAATCTTTCTAAAATTTTGAAGCTGGAAGAGTTAATCTATTTATCAAACTGTGTACTTGTATGGGACACTATGCACAATAACATGCCCACCTGTTTCAATAGCTTTTTTAAGTTCACAGGTGATATCCATAACCATAAACTTAGATCTGTATCTTATTTTAGTCTCTCTATGCCTTTAAAGCAAACACATAAATATGGCATTAGGTCAATCAAATATCAATCAATCCACAGTTGGAATTCTCTTCCTGTTGAAACTAAAAAAATATTCTCTAAAATAACAAATAGAAATGCCTTTATAACCCATATAAAAAAAATTATTTTTAATAAAAATAATCAATGAGCTATTTTCTATTGCTCCCTTTTAGTTCACTGTAATTAGTTATTTCTTTTTCTTTATAAATAAAAATAAAACTCAGAAAGTAAAAATAAAAATACAAAACTCAGAAAATAGAAATAAAAATATAAAACTCAAAAAATAGAAATAAAAATATAAAACTCAAAAGTAATAATAAAAATATAAAACACATAAAATAAAAATAAAAATATAAAACTAATAAAATAAAATAAAAACCTCTAAAAAATAAAACATAAGTATATATATGTATATGTAATATATATATGTATGTGTATGTAGCTGTGTGTATGCATGTGTTTATATATGAATATATTTATGCATGCATATGTATGTATGCATGTGTGTATGTGTATGTATAAATGTATGTATGTATGTGTATATGTATGTAGGTATGTATGTATGTATGTATGTATGTATGTATGTATGTATGTATGTATGTATGTATGTATGTATGTGAGTGTGTGTTTATGTGTGTATATGTGTGTATGTATGTAAGTATGTATATATGTATGTATGTATGTACGAATGTATGTATGTATGTATGCATGTATATGTATGTACATATGTATGTGTGTATGTATGTGTATGTATAAATTTGTATGGTCGGTGTATTTTTATGTCTGTATATATGTGTTTATGTATGTGCATTACATAATGCCAAGTCATTAAATTCCCTCTATTTTCTTTTCTTAATTTTGTCTATTAAATTATTGTTATTGTTATTATCATTTTTTTTTTAAATATATATTTTCGTTATTATTAATGATAATTACTATTTTCTTCTTATGTTTTATTTTGCAAATAGCAGAAAAAATATATACAGCTATACTGCTTCATATTGTTGTATTATTATTGACATTATTATTAGTATTGTATATTTACTGTTATTATTATTATTAACATTGTTATTATCAATATCATTATTATTATATAAATTACACCATCATAGGTGGTTATTGTTATATCATCACATTATTCTTATATTAATATTATTATGCTACAAAGTATACCATCATAGGTCTTTACGCGTCATCAGTTTGTAAATGTTTGTAAATGTCCCGCACGAATGTATATATTTACAGTTATATTAGAGTGGAAATATATTGATTTGATTTGATTTGATTTGATAACAAATATAGATATAACAAATTATGACAACAGCAGCACGACCAACTTTTGATCCTGCCAGGGGTGGAACTCAAAAATCTGAAGGAAACTTGTCAGTTTTGTCAAAGCAATATTCAAGTAGGGATCTTCCGTCGCACACAAAGCTTAAAACAAGGTTACATTTTTAAAAGTATATTGTTTAGCTTTTTAACTGTGTAGATTCGGCAATTTAATGTTTTAAAGCAACGCATTCCAAAAAACTTTAAATTTTACAAAATTTTTTTAGTAGTTTTATGATTCAATTTGATAATAATTTAGTTATATTAGCTCAAAGTCTTATTTTTTTTATTTCTTATCATTGCATATTATTATTATTATTATTATTATTATTATTATTATTATTATTATTATTATTATTATTATTATTATTATTATTATTGTTATTATTATTATTAATATATTGTATTTATAATATTATTTTTTCAAATTTTGAGTTACTAAAACCGCATAATTTTTTTACAAAAAGTTGTGGAGTTTGATATAGTTATAAACTAGTTCGTTGTTGATACTTAAACAACAGCCTTGTAATTAATTACTCAATTCAGCATAAAGCTTTAGATAGTAATTAAGATTATTACTAACAGTTGTTAAATCATTTAAAATAAAAACTGTTAATTATGGTTGTTAAGTCGTGGTAATCATATAATAAAAAGTCAGAGGCTCTGTGTAGTTAAAGTGATTTACAAATTATTCAAATTTTTTAATTTGGAATTAGCATGAGATTATCAGCGTATTATGTCCAATTTTTTTTTGCTTCAGGTTTTTTTATTATTTAAAGAAACTTTTTTTTTATATATAATTTTTAAAACCTTTTTATTACCCCTAATAGTGAATCTAAAAACAATATTTCTATCAATTTTCACAAAAAATACTAGAATTCAGACCAAGAAAAAGCTTATAACTAAGAAAAATTGCCAATAAATGATTAGAGCAGATCATATTAATAAATTATGTTGCTCATTTCACCTAAGCAATGAATTTATTTAAAATCTTATTTAAATTTGGTCAAGTGATTTTGAAAAAAAGATACCGCAAAACTTATCATTTTAATTTTTTTGTCTTTTAATAACTCACAGACCAGATCATTCAACGAAAATATATCATAGTCAACAAAGTATCATATTTTTATTATTATTTTTATTTATTTATTTATTTATTTGAATTTTCATGCTATATTTTTCTATATAATGTTCTTATATCCGAAGATATTGTTGGCTTAGCATTGAAACAGCCACAAATAGTCATTAAGACTAATCCAAAGTAGTGTCCGTTATTGACCAACATTTGCGTACCGAAGTACTACTCAAGTGCTGAGTTGGCGATGGCAGGATTTGAACTCGTATTGTAGAACAGTCCGAGTTTTAACTCTTCGTTTGACGCTCTAACCAACTGAGCCACTTAACATCTTTTATCCATCCACTTAATTCCTGCCACTAAACAAATGCTATAATATTTTTAAACTACAGGCGCTAATGATATTTTAAAACATACAGACTATAATATTTTAAAACTGCCTTAATAAATAAATAAAAATAGGAAATTAAAAATGAAATAAAATGAATGAAATAAATAGTTATGAAATCTCTCAAAACTAAATTTTTGTTTAAGTTTAATTTTTTATTTAAGTCATTAAAAATTTTTTTTATTTTTATGAGTTTAATTTTGCATCATTTTTAAAATATCTCAAAAATAATTGTTTTATATCTATCAAAACTTTGATGGATTTTAAAGTAACAATAAATTCATTTTAGTTAAGATTGTTGGAGCCAGAGACGTCAGAAAGTTAGGCTATAAGTAATGAGTACAAGGAGATTGATTTTGTAACTTTCATAATCAGTCTTTTTGGGGACATTACACCTGTGGTTTTTTTTTCAATGTTTCTTTATTTTAAAAAAGTTCTGTATCACTTGTTTTTTATATAACATCTTCACTTTAAAAAAGTCCTGTGTTTGATGATAAAATCTGCAGTGTTTATAAGGCTATTTCTTTCAGATCAAAAATGTACTCTCTCCAAGTTTTCTTATTTCTATCTCTACTGTTTTCTCCTGAAGTTGCTCCTGCTTCTAATACTATAGTCAATTCTCAATTTTAATTTTATATGGCTTGTGGTTCAGACAACATTTCTACCCTAGTATTACAAAAGTTTTCTCTAGAACTCTCTTCAATCCTCGCTAAACTATTACGTGCTAAATAAAAGGTTAAAATATTTAAAAACTCTAAAACATTCTGATCCCTCTAACTATCCTATGATTATCTCCCATCATTGTAAGGTTGCATCTCTTTCGTTTTTCTACAAATACGATGGTTGCTGCTCAAAGAAGCTATCATCTCTTGTTTGATCAACCAAAATTCTATCTTGCTTGGGTTGTCTTTCAGCAAAGTTGCATCCTTTTATTTTATCTATCCCTCTATGCTATAAAATTTTTATTCATCTAGTTTATTTCCTTGTGCATCAATAAAACTCTCACCCGTTGTCATGTTTCATTAAAATCCTTCTTTTCAAGAATCAAATGATATTTATCCCTCGTAAAAAGCCTTGACCAATATCAAAATATTTGTTGCCTTAGTTTATAAAAACCTTTTGCATATTATAATATAATATAATATACCTTTTTAATTATATAATTAAAAAAGGTAGTAATAATGTACAAGTATAGTTTAAATGTTTTAATATCTGCGGATGTTTTAAAATCATTCTCTCATATAAAAACATTTGATTTGGAAAACTGAGATGTTATGAAGTAAATTTTTTTAGCGTAAATTTTTTTAGCGTATATTTCCATCTATGTCCGCATAACAATAAGTTATGCGGACATAGATGGAAATATAGATAAACTTGAATGTTCTCAAAACAACTTGTTGCGTAAAGATAATATAAAGAATATTTGCTAACACTAAAATACCGCCAAATCTAGGAATAAATAAATTCTATTGGTTCAAAAAATACGCTGATTAAGCGAATTAGAGTTCCAGAATATTCTGAAAAACTTTCTTAAAAATGTATCGCTTGAGTTGTAAAAGTAATAAATAAATCTTTGAGATTTCTATTGTAAATTGTTTTAAGAATACATTATCAAATAAAACTGATTAAATTAACATTTAAATTAATAAAAGAAATATATTATAATCTTTGATAATTTAACATTTGTCAAACAATAATCGTCATAATTACGATGTTACTTTCTATAAAATTTCGTAAAATTTTAAAGTCGGTTTTTATTATTCGAAAATAGATATTTGATATGCAAACAAAATCCGGTTAACCGCAAAACTGGATAACTGGCGAAATCACTAGAGGTACTTTTGATTGTCTTAATTTATTATGTGAGTTTTAATTCATTATATGAGGTCTATAAAATCGTAATTCATTATAGGCTCTTTTGATAAGAGGGTTTTGATTATACCTGCAAAAATGCTGTTAGAGGTGCATTGCAGCTTTGTCAATATTTTTAAAAATAATTGTAAGTCAATAAAACTTGACTTTTTTTTACTACTACCTTGATGTTCATGCAAAAGCGATTATGGTTAAGAATCTAAAGCATGCTGAAAAGAAAAAGTTACCAAAGAGAATTGGACCTCATAAATCACAGGGAAGAGAAGTTTTTCTTTTAATGCTACTCAATCTTTGGCAAATAAATCTGATTTATGTTCAGCTCAGAGAAACTCTCAGACAGATAAAAGAAATAACTGTGTGTAAAGAGAAATAACTGTGTGTAAAGAGAAGCATGCTGAAAAGAAAAAGTCACCAAAGAGAATTGGACCTCATAAATCACAGGGAAGAGAAGTTTTTCTTTTAATTCTACTCAATCTTTGGCAAATAAATCTGATTTATGTTCAGCTCAGAGAAACTCTCAGACAGATAAAAGAAATAACTGTGTGTAAAGAGAAGCTTTAATACAGACCTTTTGTAACAAAAGATTGTCTTTTGTTATAAAAGTTGATCTTTCAGGGGCTAATCTAGACCATTTTCGATAGCGTTGACCGTATTTGGGTGCCACTCAAATTAAAATTTGAGGACTTTTTTCTTTTTTTTCTTTCTTTTTTTTATATGTAAATATTTTGTTTTGACAGCAAATATTGTTTTTTTTTGTGAAAAAGACGCCGATTTTCTGCTTAAGTTCGCCAGAACGAGGGGGTACCATTGCCCAAATTTTTTTCATAGAATTGGCCCTAACTTTAGTTATAAAAGGTCTAAATTAAGGCAACTCCTCACTACCCACAGTCATTTTTTTTTATCTGTCCGAAAGCTTCACCAAACTGAATATAAATCAGATCTATTTACCAAATATTAAGTAGCATTGAAAAATAAACTTTTGACATTCTCATCTATAACATGGCCTTCTCTGCCATGTTATAGATGAGAATGTCAAAAGATAAAGACATTAAATGTTTTGCCAGATTTCTTATGAGTCTTTATTAATAAAATACTATGTAAAGTTTGAAAAATTGTTAAATTGTTTTTATAAATGACTTTTTCTTATTTGTTAAAAACCCTAGTCTTTAAATATAAAAAAGGTATTTAAATATTAAAAAATATATATGCAACTCTAATATATGCAAATTATAATATGGCAATAACACTCTCTATGTGTATGATAACAACATAGAGAAGGTTGTTTCTTGTCTTCCACTAGAAATAGAAAATGCTATTTCATGGTTAGCTATGAACAAAATGCTTACAAATCCTAATAAATTTCGATTTCTACAATTTGGCTTAAAAAGCTTTGATGGTCTAGTTGTAAATATTGGTATGTAAACTTTCTCTAAGATTTAACTTCTTAAGGTTACTATTGATAAGAATTTAAATTATGATTAAATTTCGGTGTGTGAAAGCAAATAGTAAATGCTTTATTCTCTTGAGTATAAAAAACCTTTTATCACAAGAACCCCAAGGCAGGGGATATTTTAGGCATAAGTTCTTCTCTGAGCCTTTGCTTAAAAAAGCAAGTCCTAAAAGGAAGCGCAATGAAAAAACACCATTTAATACGCAACAATGATATTATACTGCATACACTGATACAACAATAATGTTATACTGCATACACTATAATTCTTTGAATTTTTTATGATAATATTATATAAAGTTCTTTACAGTGTTTCTTTTTACACAAAAGCATTATTTTTTTTACACAAAATAAAACAGAAAAAAAAGGGTACAAAAACAAATTAAGGCAAATTTCCTAGCAATGGTTGAAGTAAATGAGCTTGAAATGGTAATTTAAAGTGCACATGGTGAGCTATACATGTTGCTTGTCTGGGTTGCTTTTGTATAAGCCATCATTAGTTTGAATATTTATTTATTTTTATTTGCTAAAAAGGTTTTGCGACAATAAATTTAATTATCGTAAATAAATATTTAATAATTGACTTAATAAATATAAGCTTAATTTGTTTTTAAATAAGTGTTAAAAAACTGTTTTTATGATGAAAATAAAATAAAAAGTTGAAAATAAGATGTTTTTACATTTTTTTCCAATATAAAAAGGTTACCAAAGTTATTGATATAGTTAGTTTTGTACATGAGTTTTGTAGGTCATATTTTTTCTTAGTCAAATATACAAAATAGTCAAAAGTATGGAGGAACCCAATATAATTAAGCCCACGTCTTGAAGTCCCAGGCTACCATTATAAATGAAATTTTGGGGTTTAAAATAGATAAGTCCCTGTGACTTAAATTTTTTTGATTTTTTTTATCCAAAATTTAAACTAAATATACAATAAAAAAAAAATTATGTAGTAAAATAAAAAAAACGTTAACATTGCCTTCTAAAAGTTGTTAGTTGTTAAAGTATACAATAAAATAACATTTGTTTGTTGTTTTATAACATATAGTTATAAGCAAATTTTGACTCAAAATAAAGTAAATAATAAAAAATAGCAACTTTGACTTTTTTTTCCTTAACTAGAAAAGTATTAATTGCACTAATTTTCAAAATATTTTATTATTTATTAGTTAATTGTTTATTTAAATATTTTATTATTTAATAATTATTTTAGTGTCTTTACAAAAAAATACCTACACTTGCTTTATGCATATTACATTAAATAGTTTTTTTTGTTTGTTTACAGGTTAAAGAAAACTAATTTTTTTCTGGATATAACTTGTACTTGTTCAAAAAATTGTTCTGTGTGTATGATAAAAATCAAAATTTATTACTTTATTATAATTTGTTGTTAGTTTATCTGCATTAGTTACTGTTTTAATTTCTTAATCTAAAATTATTTATGATAATTGTAGATTAAAAAATTAAAAAAAAAACTATTAATAAATATGTGTTTTTAAAGGCAAACTGGTCAAGATACTACTGAAGAACTTCGAAGTCGTGATTTTAAAAGAGATTTAACTGACAGAGAGAGAGCAGCTCGTGAAAGTAAAAAGTCACGTCCTGAAAACTTGTCATCATCATCATCGTCATCAAAGCGACCGCGCATTGAGCAAATTTCTACTGCAAATCTTGATGCTGATGACCCATTAGATGATGAAGAAGGGTCAGATGATAGGTATAGTAGCATTATAAATAGCATATATAGTATATTATAATATATAAATGTAGATATTGCTCAGAGTAAAGTACTTCATGGGCAGTCAATCTCCTATCTAGTATAGTGGACTATAACTAGAACCCCTCTATAGCTTTTACATACATTGATAATTAAAAAGCATTGCTCTGTGATTTGTTAATTTATTTCTTATCTTATGCTATACAACTGCATACTTTGTGCTGAATAACATATATGTGCTATAGTTTCAATCCATTATTCTGCAACTTACTTGCAGAAGATTCACATCCAAACAGAAACATGACAAATTACCATATTTTATCATCATCTTTAGTAATTTCAACCAGCTAAAAATTAGTCATGAATTTTTTCTTTCAAAAGAACTGTGTTTTGTGGTTTAGCTTAATTAAAGTTTAGGTTTTTAGAACCATTATTAAAATAATGGTTTTAATAATGGCTCTCACTAAATGAGTCAAAATATCACGTAAAAAAAGAAATAAATAGTATGATACTGTATATGACGTTTTAATGCTTATAATATTATTACACATACTATTAAAGATGTCACTTAAAGTTTATGTATATATGTGTATATATATATATATATATATATATATATATATATATATATATATATATATATATATACGCCACCCAAATTAAAATTTGAGGACTTTTTTTTTTTTTTTCTATTAGATAATTAAAAAATCATAAAAAGAATTCTTTAGAACTAGGATAATTTTAGACTGGTCATTTGTTTTTATTATTTTTTTAAAGAAACTTATTTTTATGTCTGCATTTAGAAATTAATTCAGATTTTTTATTCAGTAAATTTTCTTGATCTAAATGAGTAATAATTTCAAATTTTTCTTGTAAACATAGTATACATTTTTTGGAAATGTTATTATAGGCAGGCGCAATTTTTAGAATAGACCAGTTTAATTTAAAATTAACATTTTCTTCTTTTAGTTGCCAAATATATTTTGACAGCATAGTCTCTTTTGAGTATTTTTTTATGTTTAAAAGATTGTTAGTGGTTGGCATAACGTTTTTTTCCATTTGCCTTCAGTTAAGTTAATATATTGTTTGTCAAGGTTGTTTTGCAAGGAAACAATCCATTTGTAAATGATATATTTTGATAAGCATTTGCCATTCATAGTGCAGTCAAATTTTTGGCTTACAATTTTCAGATCTTTTTTCTCTGAGAAATTTTTATTAATTAGGGTTTGGAAAATGTGTCTGCGCAGATCTGCGCTGACAAAATATGCGCATATCTGTGCATACGTCTGCGCCGACGTCTGCGCAGACACTAATGTAAAAGAAAAATTTAATTTATCTGAATCAAATGTCTGAAATTATTTTTGCATAATTATCTACTTTTTACGAGTTTTTCATTACTTATCTGTTTCTTTTTGGTTCGAGCTACATATAATCAATCGATATAAATTTTTTTTTTTTACTACAATTTAAAGTGATTTAGAATTAAGAAATCGTTTATTTTCGTCATTCAAAATGTTTAAAATGGAAAACATCAAATTTTCGAAGTATTTGACAAATCTTGATCGAGAGAAGTGTACTGGCACTTGTTTAGCATGCAACAAAACTGTTCAATGGTCAAAGGAACGCCTTGCAGCGCATAAAAGATCAACATATCCAAACGCCAGTGTCGAGGAAAAAAGATTGTTTTCTAAGCGTAATTATGAATCGTCACATCTAATCAATGATTCTCAGCAACTTCCGTCTACTTCTGATTCACTCACGCAGCGTGTACATCCACCAACTAATGAAGAGCTCAAAAATGATATCGACACGAAGCTTGCTAATTTCTTTTACCGTATTGGTTTACCATTTCGTTTAGTCGAATTGGAGGCCTTTAAGGATTTCGTTAAGTCGCTCAATCCATCGTACGCGATGGCGAGCGACTTAACGAAGAGGCGATCACATAGTGAATTTTTGTATTAAAGCGCCCGATCAGAAGCCTTTTTTTTACACCTCGATAAATACATCCGGAATCATTCAAAGTTCATCTGCAGTCGCCGCGGCAATCTTACAATTTTTTGAGAAGATTGGCTCACAAAAATTTACTAGTTTCATTAGCGACAACGCTCCTATTATGAAATCAGCGTGGAGGATCATCGAGGAGAAATATCCACACATCTCGGCTAGCAGATGCAGAGCTCATGGAGTCAACTTGCTTGTAAAGGACATATTTTCTACAACTGAGGCCACAAAAAAAGTCAAAAATGCAAAGAAAATCATCAAATATGTTAAAAATCATCACATCATGAAAGCAAAGTTTAATGAAAGACAAATTGCAGCAAATATTTCTCTTTCATTGTCCATGCCTGTATTTACACGATGGTTTAGTTATTATAAATCAATGAGCAGTCTCCAGCTATCAAAATACGTTCTTATTAAGTTGGTAGACGAAGAAAGTACATTACTGAAGGAAATTCAACCAAAGAATACATCTGCTGATGTTATGGCGTTGATAAAATCTAACCCATTTTGGGACCGTCTCTCTAAGCTTGTCAAAAGCATTGAATTTCCAACCAACGTGATCGGAAAGCTAGAAAGTGATGAAGCTCCATTGTCTCTCGTGTATGATTACTTTGGTCAAATGCACAACTCATATATAGACGATAAAGACATACAACAAAAAGTGTAATCTTGCCTCGATTTTCTCTTTACACCAGGTATTGGAATTGCTTCTATATTAACGCCCAAAAATGCCGCAGAAGGTTTATATTTGAATGAATATAAAACCGATTTTATCACTGCTACAGTTGAATTTGTTAAAAAGATCAAACCTGAAATTGCTGACACTGCTGAGGAAAAATTGATTGCTTTTATAGGAGAAATGGCTGCGCTGCCTGAGAGAAGAAAGAAAACAATATTCAAGATGAACGCGCGAAACTATTGGAACATTATCGGTGGCAATAAATATCATGCTCTTTACGAAATTGCTAAGCTTATTAACGAAATGATCTGCTCATTGGCTACAGCAGAAAGAGCTTGGTCGACCTTTTGATTTATTCACTCGCGACTAAGAAATCGTCTTACGAATAAGAGAGTTGAAAAGCTGGTATGGACACAAAGGACAAGACTAATTACATTCTTGAAGAAGGTGCAACTCTCAATGAAATTGAATGTCAAGAAATCACCGAATAGGCGCCAGCATTATATATTTTTATTACTGTAAGAATCTTTGAAAACTCCTATTGTTACTCATCACTGAATTTATAATAAAGTTAAAATATTACTTATAATAAAGTTAAAATATTACTTAAAACATTTTTTAAGTTTAAAACTTTTTTGTTGATTTCAAAAAAATGTCTGCAAAGCAGTAAATTTTGTCGGCGCCGGCATCTGCGCAGATCTGCGCAGACAGTCCGAACCCTATTATTAATCAATTCAAAATTATGTCCTTTTATAATTCTTTTGATATTTTTTGCACAGCTATAGCTTAGCTTAATAGTGTTTCTGTTAAAAATTTTGTGCAATTTATTAGAGGGAGGGAAATGTTTGTCGTCTAATTTAAAAAACGCTTTTCCAATATTTGTTGAAACATTTTGCTGTACAGAGGGTTGAACCAAATCATATTTCTATTTCGCTTTTTTGCAATTTTTGTTTCAAATTTTAGCTCAAAATTTTAAAATCCGCTTTTTTTAAGAGCATCTTTATACACGCGTTTTGAAGAGTTAAAAATATTTTCATTAGAAGAGTTTTGATTTAGTCTATTGTTAATTGAAATAGGATTTTGTTTTAAGGTTTGACGGGGGTGATTCGAATTTATATTAATATACGATATTTTATCATTAGGTTTTTTATAAGGCTTATAAGAATTTTCTGAGAGGTTAAATGTGACATCGAGAAAATTCACAATTTTTAAATTAATGTTTATTTCAATTTGGAAGCCAATGTTTTTGAAAATTTTTATAATATTTTTTCTGATTTTGTCAAGTTCCAAATTCTATTGTTTTATTTAAAATTTCTGCTGTAATTGAGGGGTAAAAATCATTAATATCAAATTGTATAAATGTGCATTCATTTTTATTACTAATTTTAGAAAACCAATTTATAACATCAGTGGTATTTTTCCACTGTTGTAAATTTTTTTTTTTTTTGAATAATATTTATTTTGTCTAATTTAATTTTACTAATGTGCCCTAGTTCACTTTTTGAAGGTACTAGTAGCCTATGAGGGAGTTTATTTTAAAAATTTGGTTTGTGATCTTTTAGTGTGGTAACGCTTGCACTGGTGCGACTGGTTTCTAAATTAATTGTTTTAGCGATGTTTTGACCTTCTAAATTAATTGAATTTTTAAAGTTTTTCGGGGCTTTTGCATAATTATTAGAAATATTATTGGGCAGTAATTTATGATGATTATCTTGGGGCAATTAAGTATATGTTGCTTGTTTTATCAGCAAAAACTAAAATATTAGGGTTTGATTTTATATTATTAATGTCTAATTTTAGTTCCTTTTGGAAATCATTGTTAATATTTCAAAATTTTGTTGTTTTGATCAAGTGTAATCGTTTTCAAAGTTTTCTAGGTTGGGAATAAATGGTAGGGTGTTTTTTCTTTTGAATCAAAAGTTTTCTTTTTGGTTATTTTCAATTTTAGGATTTTTATTGTTTTCAGATTCTAAGAAAAAATGGGCTTTCCAACAAATTTTTTTAATAAGTGTTCTATTTTTTGGATTAAAGAAATATTTTAACTTTTTTTTCTTGGGATTGGAATATTTTTTAGGGAATAATTAAAATTGTTAGTTTGCATGTTGATGTTATGTAAAGTACAATTAAGAGTGCTCAACAAGTATAAACCTGGTGCCTAATATATATATATATATATATATATATATATATATATATATATATATATATATATATATATATATATATATATATATATATATATATATATATATATATATATATAGTGTATATTTTCTATAATTTTTAAATTCTTCAAAGTCCCCTCCACAAATTAAAGAAATATCTTTATTTGAAAAAGATTTAATAAATCTCGTTAAAACTATCAAATTTCGGAATGTCAGCAACACATTTCAAGAAAAAATAAATAATGACATTAAATCTTTAAGTAAATCTAATAAAACTTTATATCCGCTGACAAAACTTCCATGTACAAAATATTTAAAGAAATGCAATCACTTCGATTTATAAAAAGGCCGATCCAAAACTAAAAGATGTAGTAAATAAAGTAAGCAAATTTTGACAATGTATGTATATATATATATGTGTGTATATATATATATATATATATATATATATATATATATATATATATATATATATATATATATATATATATATATATATATATATATATATATATATATATATATATATATATATATATGTATATGTATATGTATATATATATATATATATATATATATATATGTATATGTATATGTATATGTATATGTATATATATATATATATATATATATATATATATATATATATATATATATATATATATATATATATATATATATATATATATATATATATATATATAAACAGTTTGACCCTCTTCCCAAATTAATGCTTTGGAATGAGGGTAGGGTTTTATAAAATGTTTTGTGTCAAATTATGTTTTTTTTGAATTGCATATTTAACAAAGTTATATCATATCATCTAAACACACAGTTGGATAAGGTGTGAAATTGTAATCTATAAGTGTGATGTTCAATTCCATTGATGATTTTTTCATGACATTATTCACTTTTTTTTAAGGAAAGTATTTTTTGAAGTAAGACAGACATGTCTACAAAATGAAATAGAACATTAATTGCACTCTTTGTTGCTCCACACCTTTATTTTTCAGCTGGATTTTAAATTCAATTTTATAATACTTGGTGCAGCAATCTTTTCTTTCATTATTCATCTTTTTTTTTTGGAAAAATTAAAGCACATGTTTTTAGAATAAGATCAATGATATTAGGAAATTGTGCAAATTATTGAGGATTATAATCCAGCCGCTGCTAACTTCAAGTTTTTGAAATCAAATTCAAAATTGATTGTTTTGAGTGATTAAAAAGTGATTACTTTTTTTCAAAGATATATAGTTATATATTTTCAAAACTGGAGTTTCTCCATCAGCAAATATGATGTACAAAAATTAAATTACTACTACTTATTATAAGTGATTCAATGCCTATCGTATGTTCTAAAGCCTTCTGTAGATATCTTTCTACAAACAACAAGTCCTCTAATATGTTAAGTATGTCTTTGAACATTTTGGCAACAGTAAAAGGGGGCATATTAGAGAAATAAGTAAGAGTCATTAGTTGTTATGCTACTAAATTGTTGTTAGTGTCGAGCATAAATGTGATGTATAGACAGAATTGGTAATGGAGTAGAACTATTTGTTTTATAAGTAGTTATCATGTAGTCTGTATTATGAGGGTGATAAACATACATTATAGATATAAGTGTGTCATTATAGATATAAGTAATAACGTCAGTTATTGTCATTTTAGAGAAGACTGTTATTATATACGCGGAACAAGGATGAAACCTTGTGAAGTTACTATAAAAGAAACTGAAGTATTGTCCATCAAAGATATCTTTAATACTGCAATAAGAAAGGAATGATTCAATAATTTAGCAAACTATATCATGTACATCGTATGAAGTGAGCATATTGAGAAGTCTTTGTTTCACCACAAATATCTAATGCACAATAAGTGTTTCAGGTGCCATTTTCTAGCAGCAGGAAAACAATGACGAAAATGTTGTCTGGACTGTAAGTTGTAGAAGAGTTAAAGTGAGATATAACTATAGCAACAGATGTAGATTCAACTATAGCAACAGATCAAATAATAGAATAACCTGTTTCTTGACAGGTTGAATTTGATCACTACGTTTAAGAGAAATTTAGAGGAAAAATTCTTTACAACTAGTTCTGTCAAGAACCAATTGTAAAGAACTTGATCTTATTGCCTCTCCCTTATTGTCTCCCAAGGACAAAGGAGATGCTATAAGATCAGATCCATGCATGAGAGATAAAATGTTTGGCTAGCCTTTTTTAGTGATATTGTTTGAGGTTACTTAACTCTTTAGAAGCTAATTACTAAGATAAAATACAAGATTTAAAAATTCAGAATATATACTACCAGTAGGAATCAAGCTTGGAACTTCTTTCTTACAAAGCAAGCTCTCTACAACTACACTATCGCATGATCATATGTAGTCTAATTTGATTTTTCACACTTTTATTCAATATTTAGTAACTGTAGTTTCAACGTCTAAAAGTATTCATTTCTTCTTAAATTAAATCTGATATAGCTTTTATTTTTTTATGAAAAGAATTAAAGGTTTAAGATTTCAACAAGGACTTTCTTTATTTTTGTTTTTTTATTTTCTATATAAAACTTTTCTTTTTTTTAATTATTTAATACATTAAAAATAAAACAGTTTGTTAAAAGCTAAAATATTAAATTATATAAAAGTTTGTTTAAAGCTTCTGATTATTTTTTCAGTCTTCTTTTCCTGACTACTTCCTAATTGTAGTACTAATTAAATTGCAGTGAATTTCTAACAATAAATGCTTTTCAAAATTGTCATAGTAACATGTCATAGTAACATAGTTAACTTTTATAAAATACTTTTGTGTATAAGTGCATAATTATGAGATTCACAGACATGTTCCATAAAAATGTACTGATATTTACTGATATCAGTGCATTTTTAGTACTGATATCAGTGATATCAACTTTAGTACTAATATCAATGCATTTTTTTGTTAGATTAGTGTAAAAAGTTTTATTTTAGTGATGAAGACGATACTGCTGAATTACTTGCTGAGCTACAGAGAATAAAAAGAGACAGAGCTGAAGAATTAATGAAAAAAGTATTTTAATGTTCTTAAATTTATTTACTTTTTAGCTTAGCAGGTTTACACAGGAGTTTTTTTTTTATGGTTAAAATTTTGTTTCTCATACAGATATCACCTTAAATGTTCAAGTTAATCTCATAATTTATGTTAATCTCATAATTTTATCTGTTTTGTTCATTATACTCTGATATTCATATAAAATTGTTATTGTATAATAGTTTGTTATTCATTTTATTCATATAAAATAGTTCATATAATAGTTTGTTATTGAAAATGTTGTGTAAGTTGATTTGCATAGTTGCTCATGTTGCTGCAATGCCAATCTCATTTTTTAGGAACAAGAAAAGCGTCAAGAAGAAGAAAGAATTCGTACTGAAAATCTTCTTACAGGAAATCCACTTCTTCAAAATAACCAACAGATGACAGGGGATTTCAATGTAAAGAGGAGGTGAGTTTACAAGATATCATAACTTTATTACACCATTCTGGATAACATTTATTATGGGGTGTGACTTTTTAGTGTGACATATTGTGAGATAAAGTTTATTTTGTAGCATGACATGATATTTTTTATATAGTATGTGTACATTTTTTATATTATTTTTATGTGTACATTTGTTATATAGTTTTTGACATTTGTAATATTAGTCATATGGGTTTATTGAAATTTATGTGGTTTTCTAACAAAGCAATTTATTTGTTCCTTATATGTAATTTATATATTAAGGAACAATGTTTACTGAAATTGTTTAGTGATGAGATATAAAAATAAAAATATTTCAAAAAAAGTCACAGAGCATTTAAAAAACGAAAATTTATCTTTATTTATATATATATATATATATATATATAAATATAAATTATATATAATAATAAATTATTATATATAATTTATATTTATATATAAAATTTATCTTTATTAGAGGTTTTTAGATGTTTATATCAGATTTTGATTTTAAATTTTTTTTGATTTGTTTTAATCAAAAACTAAACTTATTTTAGATGGGATGACGATGTTGTGTTTAAAAATTGTGCAAAAGATGATGACAAGCCTAAGGTTAGAACTCTTGTTTTATCTTTGATTTCCATCGAGTAATGTGGAGGGGAATCCTCCATATTAATAAGGGGTAGCGGGAATCATATAATATAAAATAAAATGATAAAGAGCTTTTGCAAAATTTGTATATAAAAAATAGTATTTTAGTAATAGTAGTTTTTAAAAAATGGAAAAAAGTGAGATAAATAGATTTAAAATAATTAAGTTTTCAGAGATTTTGTATAAGGTGTGTATGTTGTACAATATGTTGTCAAGCGATGCTTGACAACATCCTTCTTCTTGCAGCTTTCTACGGTTTGGGATTAACTATTTTTTTCATGCTAGGAATCTAGTGGCACTATTCGATTGTTTGAGCAACTTTCTTAAAATCCTAAAGTTATAAACTAGACTGATATTAATGTTAAATGATGATAAAATAATTAATTTTTATATTTAAATTACACAAAGCCAATTACTACTTTTTGCTCTACAGTTCCAGCGCTCTTAGAAACCAGTTTATTATATATATTTTTATTTTAATTAATTTTTTTTTATATATTAATTTTTTTTGAAAGTACTAAAGAATAAGCGCAAAAAAAAAAGTTAAAGCTATAACCTTGCAATCTTGAAAACAATTTTTTTATAATTTTGTCTGTGTGCTATGTATATCTTTTTGTATAGCAACCAGAGATTACAGGTTCTTAAAAAAAAAGAAAGTTAGATAATTTTTTTTTACATCTTATTTACAAAAACTAATTTGCTTAAGTATTCACAAGGATGTTGGTTACTATTGTAAAAAGAAATGAAGTTGATTTTTAAAATTGTATCACTTCTGGATCAAATGTTTTTTTTGTGCATGAATTTTTTTTTTTTTCACATTTACTGATAAATGGATTTGAAGAACAAATAATTTTTTTTAGAATAAAAGCAGAGTTCTCCTCATCAATAAAAGCAATCGATAAAACCGATTGCTTTTATTTTATAAGTGTATATTCTTCTTCCACTTTGGGCGAGAATGCTTATAAAATTAGATAGCTTGTTATTAAGAGTTAAACTCATGGCATTTACAACTGCTTCCAAAATATTATATTAGGACTTCTATGTTTAAGTTTTATTTCAAAATATTATATTAGGACTTTTATATATAAGTTTTATTTCAAAATATTATATTAGGACTTCTATATTTAAGTTTTATTTCAAAATATTATACTAGGACTTCTATATTTAAGTTTTATTTCAAAATATTATATTAGGACTTCTATATTTAAGTTTCATTTCAAAATATTATATTAGGACTTCTATATATAAGTTTTATTTCAAAATATTATATTAGGACTTCTATATTTAAGTTTTATTTCAAAATATTATACTAGGACTTCTATATTTAAGTTTTATTTCAAAATATTATATTAGGACTTCTATATTTAAGTTTTATTTCAAAATATTATATTAGGACTTCTATATTTACGTTTTATTTCAAAATATTATATTAGGACTCTTTATTTAAGTTTTATTTCAAAATAATATATTAGGACTTCTTTATTGAAAGTATTATATTAGGACTTCTTTATTGAAAGTATTATATTAGGACTTCTTTATTTTTATTTTAAAGTATATGAATAGCATCAATATATTTTACGTTAATTACAGTATCTAAAAGAATGAACTGCATGCACACATTCACAAAATATTTATAATTATATATAAGATAATAATAGATATATATATATAGATATGATAAGATATTTATATAAGTTTGTAATACTAATTTAAGTCTCTCCGAAATTCCATTAACTCAAAAAATTCAATACCAGTCTCTTCAAAATACCAGTAAGAATAGAATAAAACATATATTGCTATGGATGTCGTCACATAAAATTAGACACTTAATTTAACTTGTAAAAATCATTATTAGAACCCATGCTGACATCTCCTAGCGATAAATTTAAATAAAGTTTAATTGATAATATACATATTGGCCGAACTATTTCAAGTTTCTAAAAACTCGACCATCTTTGACTGCTAAAGTATTAAGTTATTTAAATTAAATTTTATTTAGAAGTGGTTTAAAGTGTTAAAACATATTTGCATCGAGTATCCCTTTTTTTAATGAGTAATAATATTAACTACATTTAAATTGAATAATTTTACTTTTAGGTTCAATAAAATTTTAGGGTTTTTTCTCACCATTTTTAAATACGTTATATTCTAGCTCAGAATCATAAATTACGAGGTTTACTCAGATGTGAACCTCGGACCTTATGCTCAGCTCTTGCCACATTTGTGACAGTTAAAAAAGGAGGCTTGAACTCCCTAGTTAATTTTTCTTCCTCATTGCTCTGTGATAAGACCGTAAGGACTTCTCGGGGTACCTTAAAAACCACATTTAAAAAAAAAATGAATTATGAGTTTTTTACATAATTTCTGTTTAAAAGTGTTTGTTTTGTTACTTAAAGATAAAGTTAAATATTTTCCCATTTTAAATAATTTTTTTTCTGTAAAAATTGCAATTCTTGGAATGCAAAAAACTAATTGCATTTGTTCGCATTTCTTATTAATTCAAAAAATTAATGATAAAACCCAGACTATAAAGGTTCTATTTCTTCAAATTCTCGAGTTTTTGTTTTGTTATTTTAATTTTTTTGTTTTTTTATTTAGAACAAGGGTTTTATTAACGATACACTTCGCTCTGAGTTTCACAAGCGTTTTATGGATAAATACGTAAAGTAGAAGTATGATTTTACCCTTGTATACATTTGTTAAGTTCACTATAAACTTAATATTATTTTATTTTGTTTTACAAGTTTTTTTTTCATGTAGACTATCATGCAATGGGATTATGCAGTTACGAAAGGAACATAAAAGTTCAAAACTGCGATCATTCTGTGTTAGGCGAGCTACACAGTTAGTCTTCATTAAGTTAACTATTGAAGCATGAGATTGTTGAAAAATAAATGTTTAAACATGTAAACATGTCTGTTGTGGACTGTGTTTGGAACTTTTTTGCTTTAATAATTTGTCAACTTTAACTTATTAAAATTTAATACTATTATTGAAAATCTTTTTAAAAAAAATATTTTTAAATTTGAGGCCAAGTTTGCATTGAGCCAAGAGTATTTGCGGAAGTGAATCTTTGTAATAATATATATATATATATATATATATATATATATATATATATATATATATATATATATATATATATATATATATATATATATATATATATATATATATATATACATATACATATACATATACATATACATATTTGCTAAAAATAATAGATGGATTTGGAGAGCAACTTCACAACTGAGAAAAATTTAACTTTCTAAATTTAGGAATTTAAATTTCAAGTTAACTTTGATTATAATATTGTTATTTTGCTATGGCATATAATTTTGTTGTATATACTATTGTGCAATACAAGAACTAAACTTGTGGCGTGATATTATTACTCATTACTCATTTCTACTAAATTTAACTTAATTTTATTCATAACTAAAATTTATTTTATAATTATGATTTTTTTTTTCAATTATAGCTGAAGGTTTTTAATTTAGTAATTTTCTATTCATCACCGAGTGTTGATTTACAAATTGAATCTGTAAATAATAGATTATACAAGTTTAATTTCTCTTAATGCTCAGCAATTTTATGCATATGTTGGTGCTCGTGTTCTTTACAATTACTAGTTTTTTATTTTTATTATTAGACTTTTAAATTACATATTATAGTTTTAGTTATTTAAGTTCTTTTTTTTGTTTGTTTTCTAAAACGGCTAATAAAAACAAAATTTCTAAAACTTGAGTCCTCAATTAAAAGTGGTGTTGCTAATGCATAAAGATTAGAAAACGAAAAAAAAAAGTAATTCATTCCTTAGATATAACAAAGTTCATTTATTCAACGCCCCCGATCTTTTGCCTGTTAACTTTTCTTGTATTGAAATTGCAATTTGGTTAATAATTATTTTTATTTTTTGAGATAGTATTGCAGTTTTGCTCCATTAGGTATTATTAAAATAAAAAAACAATGTTCCTCGCACCTCTGTTATTTAATACAAAAAGACGCATATTGCATATTTTTTATACTTTTGCAATTAAAAAAAAAACTTTTCAAAATTTTATTTTTGTTTAAGTAAGTTTGAAACGGTTTCTAATTACTTAATTTTGAACAGAAATGAATTTCACTTTTCGAAATTCACGATAATCTATCAACATATTTTAATCGTCAAAAACTTTAAAATTCTAAAAAGGGCACTGAAACATTTTATCACTTTTGAATCTTTATAATTTGTATCGAAATTATTTATACGAAGTTTTTAAAACAGCACCGAAGCAATATTTCACTTTCGAATCTCTAATAATTTGCATCGAAATTTTTTTATATTATCGAAATCATAAAAACGGTATCAAAACAATTTTTTACTTTCAAAATTCTTAAAATTACTTCAAAATATTGTATTACATTAACTCTAATAACTGCATCTAAATGAATATTTACAATAGAAAAATTAAAACTCTTAAAATTAGGACAAAATAATTCTCAAATTTTCTTACTTCTTTTAAATACGCTCTTCAGAATAAATACTGATAGCTAGATGTAGTCAAGGCCGGTGCGTAAAGCATGTGTGGAAGGAGGGCAGGACATACAGGACAGTGACATACTCTCATTCAAAGAACCAGCTGTAAATTTGGACCTTTTTTTAAATATGTTCATTTAGCAAATAGGACTTGGTATTTATCACTCGTCATCAAATTAGAAAATTAGAGTCTTTTTTTTGTGTGTGTGTGTGGATTTCATTAATGAAGTGCGGCCGTGGCGCAGTTGTTAGAGCACTTGCTTAGCTCTATGTGACAACACCGTTAGCTCTACTTAGGGCATCTAAAAATAATTACAAAAAAAAAAAAGTTATGAAAATATGATTATGATATATGGGTTTCAGTTTTATTTTGTAAGAATCTTTAGTATCATTCTTATCTATATCTATAAACGTTTTAACTCCGCTTTAAACTTTTTATTTCGTTATTACGATAGTGGTCCATTTGCGTGTTGTTTTGCATAATAATTAGAAGGAATTTCATTTTCAAGATTAAAGGTAAGTTTTTACATTTCATTCTGCACAATATATTTTTTTACTGCGCTCGCAGTAAAAATAATTTTTTTATTGCCAAAAACTGCCTACATTATTAACATATATATTTAAACTACATATAAGATTTAAATTATTCAAAAGCTATAAGGAATAACTGATAAATATTAATTGCGAATGTTACTTGAGATGACAAAATCAAAACTTATCACAAAGAAATGAAAATATGAAAATCCCAATGGAATTTCAGTTCTGCAAATTGCTTTTTTTAAACTATTTGTTTAATAAACAACACTTAATTTTAAATTAACGTATCATTTTACTCATATTTTTAAGTTTGTGTTTATGTGTAAAGCATTGTTAATAGACATATATATTTAACGTGAAAAAACAAAAAAAAAATTGACTCTTTGTCCCCTTATTTGTGGCTGGGGAGGGGGTTAACGTTTTGGGGTTTTTGTTGTTCCCAGTCTCCAATCACCACAACTTTTTGCATAGCATCCTTATTCTTCATATATATGAACATTCTTAAATATGGAGTTTTCTTCATGTTTCATGAAACATGAAGAAAACTCCATATTTAAGTATGTTTAATTAATTTTTTTATTATTATTTAACTTTTTTATTTAATTTTTTTAAAACTATTATACTATCCCCTTATTAAAAATGTTTAAGACTTTTTTTCTGCAATATTTTTAAAAAATATTACTTTTATTGCTCATTTTTAAATTTTTATCTAGTGGAAATGTCACAATCACGACTTTAAATTTTTATCTAGTGGAAATGTCACAATCACGACTTTAAATTTTTATCTAGTGGAAATGTCACAATCACGACTTTAAATTTTTATCTAGTGGAAATGTCACAATCACGACTATATGGTTACATCTATTGATATCTTCAATAATTGAAGGCTGTAGACAAACTTTTTTGATGTTTGAGCTAAGCAACTTTGAATTCAAAGTTTAAAGTCGTTTAAAATTTAAAGTCGTGATTGTGACATTTCCACTAGATAAAAATTTAAAGTCGTGATTGTGACATTTCCACTAGATAAAAATTTAAAGTCGTGATTGCGACATTTCCACTAGATAAAAATTTAAAATCGTGATTGTGACATTTCCACTAGATAAAAATTTAAAGTCGTGATTGTGACATTTCCACTAGATAAAAATTTAAAGTCGTGATTGTGACATTTCCACTAGATAAAAATTTAAAGTCGTGATTGTGACATTTCCACTAGATAAAAATTTAAAGTCGTGATTGTGACATTTCCACTAGATAAAAATTTAAAGTCGTGATTGTGACATTTCCACTAGATAAAAATTTAAAGTCGTGATTGTGACATTTCCACTAGATAAAAATTTAAAGTCGTGATTGTGACATTTCCACTAGATAAAAATTTAAAGTCGTGATTGTGACATTTCCACTAGATAAAAATTTAAAGTCGTGATTGTGACATTTCCACTAGATAAAAATTTAAAGTCGTGATTGTGACATTTCCACTAGATAAAAATTTAAAGTCGTGATTGTGACATTTCCACTAGATAAAAATTTAAAAATGAGCAATAAAAGTAATATTTTTTAAAAATATTGCAGAAAAAAAGTCTTAAACATTTTTAATAAGGGGATAGTATAATAGTTTTAAAAAAATTAAATAAAAAAGTTAAATTAATTTCATAACTATATATTATTGCTAAACTTAGTAGTGTTAGTCGTAGTCAAGGCCGGCGCGATAGGGTGGTGTGGGGGGGGGGGGGAGGGGTGTCACACCCCCTTATCAATGATTTTTAGTCGGCAAACTGTACCCTTAGTCGGCAAATTAAACCGTTTTAGACTAGTTAGTCGGCAAATGTCGACGTCGACTCTTTCGATATAGGTTAGACAGTCGGTAAATGTCGTCGTGACAGTCGGCAAATTTTGGAAAACGAGGACCTTTTTTTTTTTTTTTAGTCGGCAAAAGTTGTAATGGCACCCCCTCCCCCCCCCCACTTGACACCTACTCGCGCCGGCATTGGTAGTAGTAGTAGTAGTAGTAGAGTAGTAGTAGTAGTAGTAGTAGTAGTAGTAGTACTAATAGTAGTAGTAGTAGTAGTAGTAGTAGTAGTAGTAGTAGTAGTAGTAGTAGTAGTAGTAGTAATAGTAGTAGTACCAATTCGAGCGTGTTTAACACGAACCCTTGACAGCCATTGCAACCGAGGTAGTGGCGAGAAAGAGTCGCAGCACTTTGTTTTATAAAAAAACGTGAACAAACAAGTTTGCTAATATCTATGCTATATCTATATCAAGTTTGCTAATATCTATGCTAATATCTTTTTTTGCAACTCAGCTTGCGTAGTGAACGGATGTGTTTATAACAGCTTTCAAAAATCTTTCTAAATTTGCAAACTCGAAAAAAATATATATATAAACTAACATTTTTTTTCGTATTTTGTAAAAGTGTAGATATTTTTGTTTTTGAACTCGATTTTTCTATATCATGGCAGCATTATCAGAAATTAAAAAAATGTTAAAAGAAATGTTCATGGACTTCAAAAAAGAAATGCAAAATCAAACGGAAGCATTACTCAAACAACAAGAAAAAAACGTATTAGATATTATAAGCGGAAATACGAAAATAATTAACAAGCGACTGGATAAAATTGAAAACATTCTAAATGAAAACATAAGTAAAATTAAAATACTCGAGAAAGATGTTGCAGATGTTAAATTAAGTTTAAATTTTCAAGAAAACCTTATTGATCAAAAAGTTGCGGCTTGCCACAACAGCTTTGAAAAGGAATTAACTTGTTTACAACTCTTAAAGAATCAACAAAGAAACGTTAAAGATAGAACAAGAAGAGATAACTTAAGAATCGATGGGTTACCGGAAAATGATAAAGAAACTTGGGCACAAACGGAAGAAAAAGTAAAAATATTTCTTGAAAAAAATCGAGGTTTGTTGGGAATCGACATTGAACGTG